CCCCAAAACCCCAAAACCCCAAAACCCCAAAACCCCAAAACCCCAAAACCCCAATCCCTAAAAACAAATTGATTAATAACCTATCCCAGCTAAAAATGGAACCACCGACGCCCACCTTCTTCCCGTTGAGCCCTTCCTCTTTCTCTAAAAAGTAAGTTTCCTCCCCTCTTGCACTGGCAGGCCAGTGCAAGAGGGGGATGACTAGGATTTTAAGTGGGAGGGGAAATCGGGATTTTAGGGAATTTGTTATTGATAGGGGATGGAGGGATGGGGAGTTTTAAGGGGGGGTTTTGGGGGTTTTGGGGGGGTTGGGGGTGGATTTTGGGGGAGATTGGGGTGTTATCCTGAAAAGGGGTGGATAGGATAGATGGTTCTTAGAAAGACCCCATTTGCATAAAAATGTTGTGTAATTTTTAAATGAAATTTGAGATTAGTTTAGGGACATGAGACTTCATGTTCAGAAATTACACAGGGATTCAAATTTGTGATCTTATCAATTTTGTTACTATAGATATATTTTTTCTCAAACTACAGCTATTAAATAAAATAGGTATTCTGAACTATCAAATTTCATAAGTTTCTAGACTTCATCTCAAGGCGCATCCATAAGTTAGCTAAGTTTCAATATTCTTAAACTCTGACTCTTATATGAATTAGCGCAGCTAATTCATATAAGAGTGAACTTAAGATCCCATTGTACTTCTTCTAGCAGTCATGGCATCCTCTTGAGGTTCTAAAATTCTCTATTTATTCCTAGTTTTATTTTATTCCGAAAGGATCTCCATTAGCAGAAATACTAACGCTAGGACCTGACTGTTTCGTTTAGCACTAAAACTCTTAGCAAGGCCTAGCCTTGCTAAGAGTTTTAGTTTTAAGTGAAGACAAGTCCGGGGTAATATCTGTGTTGAGGAGATTGGGCTTCTGGACTAGCAATTATTCTTGGATTTTGAGATTTGAACGATAGCTAGAGAATGAGTTTTTCTAAACTATATCCTAAATACTCTTCCTTCAAACTTCTATTATTGATTACATTAGATGGAGTAAACTAGGACCATATAAAGCCTCATCCATAATAATCAAGAGATATCAATCTCAATGAGGAAATTATTCTTATCGTTTTGAAGCTTTATAACTCTATACCTGTTCATTTAGTAAAAATTAGGTGTTAAGGTATCCAAAAACAAGTTTTAGGAAATTTCAACAGATAAACCTAAAATCTGAGATATGCTAATTTTTGAGGCTGAATTTTGGCTAAACCCAAGTATACCATTAGGCTTTGTTCTGATAAGAAGTCTAGTTCAATTAAGCACACGCTGTTTGAGAGATGAAATACTCAAGACCACTTGTGAGATAGATTACTAGTAACTTCCTCACAAATATATTTTCTGCTTCTCAAATTTTAGAAAACTCTTTTTCAGAGAAATTTGAAAGCCATCAAACTCCCCCTAACCTTCTATCATAACTTGTCTTCCTTTTGATTAAGAAGGCAGAGTTCTTCTTCTTGAGGTATCTCCCTTTTAAAATTTAAAGCCACAACTTTTCTTAGCATTTATGAGTTATTTTAGTTAAGAATTTTTTAGCTAGTCCTAAATTTATATTTATCAATTCTTATTTTACATAGATCTGATAAGATGAAATCCAAGCTAACTTCTAAAGATGGAAGGAAACAATTCAAAGGAATGAAAATTAATATTCGAGAATTTGCTAGAAGTGAGTTGAAAGATCATGCTATGAAGAATACTGAGCAGAGGAGAAACCTTCTCTGCTTCAGTCCTGAAGGACTGAAGGATATTAGTCCTCACCAAGTTAATTCAATTCATTTCTTTGGGTAAGCTTTTTCAATAACTTTTATAGAGGCAGAGAGAATAATTTAACAACTTGTCTTGGACACTGTAGTGGACAAGAGGATCTCAGAAATTCTTCCTTACCAAGTCTGAAAGAAGTTGCCAGAATCATGAGCAAAGTTCCAAGAATTAAAGCAAGGTAAGAATTCTGCAGCCTTCTTAAGTTATTTTATGTAGAAATCCCGAATCCAACGGATCAGAACTCCTTCAAAGAATATTAATGAAGATGGCTCTTCCTGCTAAAAGGAGGAAGAGGTTATCTGAAAATACTATCGGAAAGCTTTACTCTTCGATGCTCTCAAAAAGTCCTGGTCCTGATGACTCTTTTGGAAATAAAGAAAAACACTGATGCAGGAATCAAAGATTCCTACACCAGAGTCTTGATTTCGAACTTAAAAAGAAGCATGTCGGGCAGGAATTTCAACTTGAAAAAAGTGAAAAGTCTGATAGCCTTCAGACTTCCTTTATCTTTTGAAAATCTCCTCAAGCCAAAGCTAAGGTTGGCAAAATTTCTAATAATTTAGAATACTTTAACCTTCAAGAGAAAAAGAGTCTCAGGACTAAAGGAAAAACAACAAAAGACGCCAAAGAAGAGAGTCTCAGAGACTTCTCAGAATAAATATTTCTTAACACCCAAAAACCCACTTAAGCATCGAAAAGTTAAAGTAGCGGTCAAGAGTCGTATGTCTGACAAGAAGCAGACCATGAAAAAGTACAGCCAGAAGCGGAAAGATACTATTGGATCCAGACTCTCTCATAACTCTATCAATGATTTCAGAGAAGAACCTGCCTGAGAAATCAAAAAGAAGTCTCAGAATAGATGCCAAGAAGAGCATTTGTTCAATTCTACCTTCGCTAAATACTCAGCATCTTCTAATTTTGCTTGAGGAACTTCTCAAAAGAGGAAGAATAGCAAAAAAAAATCGTCTTGAAAGTTGAAGAAATCAACCTTCAAGCCGGCTAATCAGTCTAAAAATGTAGCCAATGTTGCTAGAAATAATGTAAATAGTTGTAGTTGCCAAGAGCAATGCCAGACTAGTTCAAAGTGTAGAAATTATCAGCTAAAGAGTGGTATTATGAACTATAAGAACGCTCTTAAGAAATCTCCAAACCTGAGTCCAATCAATAAGCCTGAAAATACTGAAAATAGCTGGAAGATACACAAGAATGCGGTAACTCAAGATTACTTACATTGCTTCCGCAACTACAAGTACAGGGTTGAAGAAGCTGGAGCCTGTGCTTCTGATGAGCTGTAAGTGCTATCTCTTGTTCTCTTTCATTCAATGATTGCCTTAAACTATGATAAATATTATGAAGTCGGCATAAGGAATCTTTAGCATTCCATTTATGGACAGATTTCTAATACCTATTGCATATTTTTCAATACTATTGGAGCTAAGTCCAAACCAAATTTAGGCCCCAAGCCAGTTCCGGAAATCCAGAAGAAAATCCTGAGATTCCTAACCAAACCCTAAACGTTAGCCAGAATATACAGGAAGTGGAAATAGAGGAAGAAAAGCCACTTAGAGAGACATATCAGGTAAGGATTCATGCTGAATAAAGTCAAGCATATCTCTCAACAATTCTGCAAACAATGTGGTGATCATTTGTTTAGGCTGAGAGCTCCACTCACATCTTGAATGGCAAAAACGTGAAGATTTTATCTAAAAATCCCTGAAAGCTTGCAAAGTAATTCTCTCGCATAGAGAAATATTTAGAATTCTCTTATCCTCAAAAATTCTTTCGGGTCAAATTCCTTATAGGATTATGATGAAAAATGAGGTTCATAACACAGCTATGAGGCAGGATCTTAAGTCGAATAGTGGCTTAGTCCAAAGAAACTATGGTATGAATAACAAAGCTGGAGACTACCAGCCAGAAGGCCTTGAAGTTATTGAAGAGCATACAGTTTCATACTCTAAGAGCGATCGAGGTAATTTTCTCCATATCTTGAGCATGAAGTTACTAATTCACGTGGCATGCTGAACTTAATTTAGAGATACTCCATCCAGACAAGATTCAAGGCAGTGAGTCTAAAGAGATAGATAAAGAGTTGAGCATCTCTATAGAAGAGAGTGATCTGGACTCCCAAGATTCTTGCTCCTTGTATAATTTACTCTAGTTAATTTTTAGTAATACTGATTCTGACATCGAGATAAGAGAAAGCAAAAGAGCAAGTCTTAAGAGTGGATGCACCATGGGAGATATCTGAGCAGGACAGAGGATAGCTGTGTTCCCAACTTTGAACCCGACTGTTGCTCCTCGGTTTTCAGGAGTTAAAGCCTCAGATGAGCTTTCCAAACTTCAACTAGACAATGAATCAATCAAAACTTCTAATTTCAGAGTCAATGTTCAGACAATCTCTGTCAGCTCCTCCTGTATGTAGTTTTTTAAATTATCATACTAGTGCAAAGATTTCTTGCTAGATGATTCTAATCAATTTGATTTCTTTAATGCTAAAAATATACCAAAACCTTAATTTTCTCCCTTGAACTCCAACCTGTAGAGTACTGTTTCAAAGAGTCTCTTCAATGAACCAGTTTGCTCTCGTGGCATGTCTAATTTGGATCAAATTTGGCTTAAAATTTCTCCAAAACTATGCTAGTCATTTACCATTTTTTGAAATAACATGCATAATTTCTTTTAAGGAATTTAGAAAGGGGTTTATAAACTTGCCAAGCAAATTATGTTTGGAATTCTCTAGTAAATTATCTAGCTTTCAAAGCTATCCTCAAGCATTATAGTCGGGCTGAGGGTCCAGGTGGACTTTCATCATTAGCTTCATTGATAGAGAAGGTTATTTATGTTATTATTTGTTGGCAATTTTTATCATTGGGATCAGTTACATTTTATGTGAAATCAAGAGTGATTTTTCAAAAGGTATATCAGTTTATAATTGAAAAACACTCACATCAAGCAAGTAGGAAAGGGCCAATCACAAATTTTATAGCTAAAAAACACTTTTATTCCCAAAAATAAAGCCATACCTACACTTCTTCACCTATAAAAAGCCCTAATTTATCCTAAAACCTCCCTAATCTTCCTTAAAACCCTTCAAATCCTTCATATTTCCCAAACTGTCCAAGTTTTTAGCTTCCATTTCTATCCAAAATTATTATTAGGGGTTTTGGGGTTTTGGGGTTTTGGGGTTTTGGGGTTTTGGGG